TTTCCTATTATATTCTGAATGAATCTGTATTCCCTGAACATGTAGCAGCTATATGGAGAGAAGAATGAGCCGGGGTGGGCCTGGTGGGAAGGAAAACACGAGCAGAAATTGGTTATAGGTAACTCACAAAGTAGGATAACCCTAAGAGGCTGGTGGAGCTGACTTTCCTCTTCCTAGACAGTTTCCACATTGCTGCCAAAATGACAGCTGCCACAGAACACCTGACATCAGGTGCAGCAGCTCAAATTAGCCTGACTCAGGCAACTCCAAAAAACTTCCACCAAGTCCCATTAGAAGGGCACACCAGGTGACAGATGATATGGATAAAAATGCTACAATCAGCCTTCAAAGAGCTTATCATTGGTTCACCCAATGACCTCACCCTGGCCTTCCAAATGACCCCCAGCCCTGGCCTCCATCATAAGATCTCCAAATTTCCTCCCATCTGCAAGCACCACAACTGGCTTTCTCAGTAATGGCTGAAAATGGAAATGCCCTCATTGTACTTCATCAAAAATACAAGCAAGCAAACCACAAAAGGGTTGTAAATTAAAAATTCAACAGAAAATGCTTCGATTCATTTATTCTTTCATTCACTGAGCTAGTCTTCACTGAATGATTACAGTGTACCAGGCATCTTGCTAGGTGCTGGGGATTCCCAGCAAGGAACAAGATGGACATGTTTTCTCTCCCCTGGGCCTTAGAGTTTACCCTTAAAAGAGGACGGAGTCCGTAAAGGAAAGGCTCTGCGTTGCAACGTAAAACGATTCCAACCCTGTTAGTTCCGTGATGCAAAAACAGAAAAGAGCACCTTCAGAGATAGATGTAAGAAGTGAACTTTGCAGTAACTTCGTCATTAAGCAACTGGATTCTGATAAGAACGGTTCAGGAGGGCAGGACGGAGGAAACGTCTTCAGACTTTCCAATGGAATATTCTTGGAATAGAAAGTTGCTCTTTCTATAATAAAAAATCAAACATTAAAAAAAAAAAAAAAAGGTAGCAGCAGCACCTCGCTCTGGGCCCATTTCCCAAGCCCAGTAAAAAGTGACACTTCTGGGGTCTTTGCAGCTTCAGATGTCGCCAGGGAAAGGCGGACGTCTTAGTCTGCTTTTCCAGGCAAATATACAAGTAGCCTTCTGCCATAAACAAATGAAAAAAAAAATAAAAGCCAGAAATAAAAGCCTGGTGACAGGATGCCAGAAACCTTCAAAAGGGGACCTTCAGAATAAGTTCAGGTTAACTCTCAGCATCTCTGAACATAATAAGCACTATCAAGTCTACATTCACTATTTTATAGCAAGGACAGAGTTGATGCCAATTATTTTTTGCCCTAGTAAGAGAGCTTGTCATCCTTCTCAGAACAATTATCTATAGGTGCATAATAGTGAAAAGCTAAATTCTTCCCCCAATTCAGTATGGGAAAAGTGCTGCTCACAGCAATTTGACATCATTCCATTAGATGAGATTAATTTTTAAACGTGTTATTCTAACAATTATGCCAAGTACCATGTAATTAATATTCCAACTGACTTTACAAAAATTACAAAATCCCCTAAAGAAAATAATTAGTCATTAGGCATGAACGAGACTTTTCTATAGCCAACAGCACATAAAACAGAAAGTTCATCTCATAATGGGTGGGTATCAAAGCCTTTCTCATATGTCCTTCAATTCTTAGCCAATAGTGCATACAGCTGACATTGGCAAGTTACCCCAAACTTCACTTAACATATTAACACACTTACTGGTTTAAACTCTTTGAGGGTAAAATGATGAACGATGAAAGCTTTAGCAATTAAAAAGCTCTTTTCATTTGTAGGAAAGGCAAGATAAACATATATAATTAATTGTTTGCTCTTCCATGTCCCCAGCTGGAAATTAGAGTACTGGCTTATTTCTTGAGGCTACTTCTTGTGTTTATTAAAGAAATGTATATAGGCATCCTCATCCTTGTTTTCCCTCTTTTCTTTCAGGGTTTTGTGTATTCTTATAATCTATTTTAAATCCCTTGTAGAAAAAGGCAAGGTATAAATAAGTAATAGTCGCACAGGACGTCATATGCTATAACAGAAATAAAAAACATGTTTTCCTTGCCACCCTCTTCTGAATAATTGGCAGTCACTGCCTAGTGCCAGAACAGAGAGTTGCAAGGATTCTAAGCCAATATACACACAGCCTCAGCAGGAAAGAATGCAATGGTTGATTAGTGATGTCTGCCCTAGAAAGAGCAATAGGTTAAGAATCCAGGTACCATGTATTTGCCATCTCCACCCTTTGATAAATCACTAAAAATTAGAAAAATACATACAGATTCATAAATAAAATATAATGTGAATTGTTTCCAGGATGCAAGTAAACGGGGAAAAAAATGTTTTCTACAGTTGAAAACCTTAAGCAAAACCAGACTAAAACATCAAGTTTTGAGGAAATAACATTGAACCAGGTCAGGAAACCCAAATTCTGGTCTAGCTTGGGGAGCTGTAAACAGGTCAGTTCACTGGGCCTCAGTTTGCTCACCTCTAAAATAAGGGGCTGAGTCTCTTAACTGTTCTCTCGTGCTGGTGAAAGAACATAGTTCCTTTACAGGAGCCGAACCTCAGCAGGCCAGGGACATGTCTGCAGCCTCGACACCCCCTCACATTGCTCATAGGAGATTTATAATCTGGGATAAATGCATACAGATATTTTTAACCTGTAGCATTTCCAGCACAAGAAGTTCCACATACATAATACATAACATTTCTTTTCCTTAATACAACCTATTTTCCACTGTGGGGCAAGGGTAGGGGTTGACGTAGGAACTTCTTTTTTTTTTTTTTTTTTTTTTTTTTTTTGAGACCGGAGTCTCGCTCTGTCGCCCAGGCTGGAGTGCAGTGGTGTGATCTCCGCTCACTGCAAGCTCCGCCTCCCGATTCATGCCATTCTCCTGCCTCAGCCTCCTGAGTAGCTGGGACTACAGGCGCCCGCCACCGCGCCCGGCTAATTTTTTTTATATTTTTAGTAGAGACAGGGTTTCACCATGGTCTCGATCTCCTGACCTCATGATCTGCCCGCCTTGGCCTCCCAAAGTGCTGGGATTACAGGCGTGAGCCACCGCACCCGGCCGAAGTAGGAACTTCTAATAGCGGAACAATTCAGTGATTAAACTACCTTCATTCAAAAATTCAGTGTCATCACTTCAACGTAAGACTAGTCATTTCCACGAAGTGTCCCACTCACTCATGGTTTTGAGATCAGCCTGAATCTTCCCACCACGGAACAGTCCTTGTCACTGTACCCTATTTCGAGAACTTGACCCACAGGATACATCAACATGGCTTCCTTTTCCAAACACCTATCTGTGTAGAGCTGGAACAGTCCCACGTCTGGCCTAAAAAAACTGCAACAGACATCTGTGATTTCTTTATCTGCCCTGCATCCATCCCTTCTGGGAACTCCCTCTGTCCCAACTCCAAGGAGCCCCATTTCCTGTGTTTCAGGTGCTCTGAGCTGCGGATCCCACCCATGGATGCAATGAACCATCTCAGAGGGCACCTGTCAAGTTTGGGCCAGAATCCTTTTTCAGAGCCTGACATGGACACTGGGAGGTCACCAGGTATGAGAACTATGTATCCCCACAACTGCATGTTTTTTACCCCTTGGAGAGCATCAGGCCAAGAAAGGAAAGCAGTCCTAGAGAGGGCAGGAGAGTGACGTTCCTGCCACACCACCCAGGCACCCGGATGCTCCTGAGCTCAGTCACAGACAAGTAACTCCCTGAACATTTTAGTTCCTTGAACCAGTGAAGGCCGCCATGCTTTTTTTTTTTTTTTTTTTTTTTTTTTTTTTTGGCTAAATCTAGACCCAGTTGGGTTTCTGTCACTGGCAGCCCAGAGTTTTGGGGAAAGGCCTTCTAGGCTACATGTATGCATTCAAGGTTCAAGTTCTTTCTTTAGTAACCCATGATAAATCACCTTCCTAAATCACAAATGCAGCTCCCAGGGTTCCCCTTCAAACCAAAGAATACTAAAACACTCTCAAAGAGAAATTCAAAGAAAAAATTCTGCACACCAGGAAAACTCTCAAGGTTTATCTCTTATCCAAGACCTAAGGGGAAAAAAACCACCGAAAAGAAGAAAATGCCAATGGATTACTGGAGGGGGCACCACCCTGCAAACAGTTAAACAACTAACAATTCTAACAACAATTATTCAAAGAGGCAGCACAGTATAATAAAAAAGCTTCCAAAATCATTCCTAAAGTATATATATATTCTAGTTCCCTATCAACATAAAAAGCCCGTACACACATGCATGCCACAACACATAGCACCCAAACAAAAGGAACTTGTTCGTAAACAAACGAACCGTTTCCAGATTCATGAGCCTAACTGTTTCTGTTATTTTTCAACTACAGTTTAGTTTTCCACTTACAGCTGTCCTAGGGTCTCTGCCACAGGCCTGCCTGCTGAAAGAAATCATGAATATCAAACTCTACAGAGCATGTTAAGAAAAATCTCCCTTAGGTGGCATCTAAGTAATTAGAGAGTCATCTAACAAACAGTATTGTAGTGATGCTCATCCATCTGTGACAGAGGAAAAGACAATACAAGAACATAATGTTTGCAGCTAAACATTTAGACACCTCCTGGGGGCCACAGATTCCTCTGTGAACCTGATGAAAGCTACGAAGCCTTCCCCAGATACACATGCACATACCACAACATGCTGCATATAATTTTAAGGGGTTCATAAGAGTTGCTCCCTATACCCGGTCTCCAGGTTAAATACACCTGAGTTAGAATTTTTAATATGTAATCACCTGAGCATCATGAATCCCCAAAGACTTCAAAGGACTACAAAATAGATTACAGAAAAATTCTACCACTTCCAACTCTATAACCCCATGCTGAATCAAGAACATAGCAAGCAATCCAAACTTACTCTTGCTTTCTGCATTTATGGAATATAAGAAAACTTGGCTTTCCATCTATTAGCTCCATTTATTACATCTCCCTTACCTTGTTTGACCATTTATATGCTTGAAGGAGTTGACTATAGAGAGGAGTTTTGTCCTGCACAGGATCCAGGCTTAACAGCCCACTGTTATGAAGAGGATGGTTCTCAGATGGCTTGCCTACCAGATTGCTCAGACGTTCCAGCTCACTGAAAAGCAAAGAGATAAGGCAAATAAACCTAAGCCCACTTACACTCCAAGGTAAAGCCAACCCCCAGGATCAAAGACTGCTCTTCAAACCATCCATCAGAAGTCCCTTAAGAAGAAACACTTTTTGAAAGGTTAAAAAATATTTGGGACACTTAAAAAAACAAAAACAAACAAAAACCCTAAATGAGAGCTTATCTGACTTTAAAACAGAGCTTCCTGGTGCCATTCCAAAGGAGGAAAAAAACGTAAGGGCACTAGAATCAATAAGACTCCCACAATCAGAATTGAACAACTCAAATTCATCTCTGCAGTGGGGACGAGACTTTCTGGAATTTTGAAATGTGGCATAACACGGCCTCTCACTAAGAGTTTTCAGACCCACGTGCAGATCATTACACTTGGCAGAACAGCAAGTACCTGAATAAATGATTATTTATCATTCACATAGGGATAGATTTGTACGTGATGCTTCACAGATGGCAAAACTTAACAAAACAAAGAAGAGATAAAATAAACAAATGGAATGGGAAGACACCACCGAGGGGGCTGTGTCAAACACACTTCAGTCTAGCAGGAAAACCCTCCAGAAGCTTGGGAAAGCGAGCCAACAAGAGCACATTCCAGGAGTACGTTCTGAGGGGCCAGTCCCAAACTGCCAACAAAAGACTCTCTAGGAACAGCTTCTTATGCCACATTCATTTTGGAATCATCAGCCACCTTCTTCTTGGCACTACTGTACAAAGATTTAAGACGGCACAGGGATAATGTAAGCACTCTTAAAGTTTCTATTTAAAATGGTGAAGGGTTATAATATCCTGAACATTACAAAGGAAAGTAACTCGGAGAGAAAATGGAAAGAAAACAGAAGATAGGGAAGAAGAGCCAGTGCATCCCCTGAAGCAGGGAAAGTATTAACTGGTGCTCGGCGCTGTGCCAGAGAATAGCAAGTGGATGTAGGCGTTGAGAAGGGGTGTGTGATTTATGGCAACTACTTAGGGGGAAAACAAAAAGGCACCCATCATTTGGCCACCTCCTCCACCTCCTCCTCCATCCTACCTCCTCTTTCCATCTGGTTACTAAGGAGACCAAGTTGAAAAAACAAAAATTCAACCAGTCCAGAAATCAAAGGATGACTAGCTCACCAAATGCTTTCCCCTACTCAGGTCAGTTCTGAGAAGTAAAAGGCAAAAATCCTGAAATTCTAACCTTCCTGGGAAGGGCTGACTCTCTTATAAAAGAGAAGGCAAGTTCAGGACCTAAGCAATCAAGAAGTGCCGACTATGTGCCAGGCCCTTTACAAACATCCTCTCATTTAATTCTTACAACACTCGTAAAGTATAAGTGAAGAAGGTGCTTTGTAAGAAAGACTAGGAAAAGTGGAATCCTTAACCCTAAAAGACTACAAATTAAGAAGCACGGGCGTTAAGCATAAGTAAGTAAACTGGTTAGGAGCTTGAAAATTAGGTCTCTACTGCGGAAGAAACTGAACAGGAGCAGTGAGAGTGGGAGTGAGGAAACTGATCAGGTGTTTTGGGAGAGGGTAGGGGAAAGGGGGAAGATAGCTCAAGGCCTGGCCTGTTTCGTCGTGGTTGCCGGTGGGTGGTGGTGGAACTGATGAAGTCCAAGTTCAGGGCCAGGGAATTGGGGCTAATCAGATTGGATGCACTTGGGTTTGGAGCGGACTGATCAGGTCCTGTCTGTACTATCACTACATTCGGATCAGACGTGATGGGGCACAGAGGGCCTACAGGTGAGAAACCTGCCAAGCTCAGAGAAGCGGAACTTCATAGGAAGAGCATGCCTCCTTGTCAGGAATGGAACCGCCACAGAAGAGGTCGAGGATGGCGGGAGACAAACAGGACCAGGAGGCCAGGAGAAGCGAGACGAGAAAGCAGGCATGGTGATAAGGTGTCCCTGAGAGGCAGGCAGAGGCTTGGAGAGCACGAAGAGAAAGAACGGGGATCAAAGGAAATGGAGAACAGCCCCTGCCTGGGAAGACTCGAGCGACGTAGGCGCAGGGTCGGAGCGGGGCCGGTCCCCGACCCCGGCCCCTTCAGCCGGTACCTACTTGAGGTCCCGGTTGACCGAATGTAAGTTGTCCTGGAAGTGCGCAATGAAGGCCTTCTCCCGGCCCTCCAGCGTCTCCTTGTTCCGCATCCCATCCTTCAGGCAGTCGAACACCCTGCTCACGCTGGAGCGCAGCGCCTGGATGGCACTAATGGCCTGGGAAAAGGCCTCCAGGTTCACACTGACATTTATCACGTCCGCCATGTTGCCGCCGCCACAGCAGCTCTCCAAAGCCGGCTTCGCCAGCAAAAAGCCGCGCTCGCTGATGACGTAACTCCAAAGACCTCTGGGAAATGCAGTTCGCGCGGGGCTGCCCAGAAAGCACTTTCGAAAAAGGGTTTCCCCTTGAGCTAAACTAATGCGTGGGCAGGAAAATGATTTTTCTCAACTTGGGGAAGTCAGGTTGCACTCTCAGTTTGTTTAATGGTAACAAAGAAATACAGAAAGTTTCCGCATTTCCCCAAACTTGCATTCTGGGGAATCATAGGGAAAAGAATTGCTCAGAGCAATAGTGTAAAAAGGAAAGGAGCGTAGTCCATTCAATAAAATGAGTCCATATTCATAAATAAAGGGGGGAGAAGGGAAGTTTCTTCTTTCTAGTAGAATGCCAACTCATCAACGCAGAAAGAGTGACGGAATTAGAAAATTGCCATTTGACAACCATTAGAATAATTGATTCAGATAGAAATCGATGGATGCTAACACTAGTGGGTGAAAGTGTCAGAAAAATAACAGGTTTTTCAGGTAATCTCAAAGTATTGTCCCCCAAGATGTTTATTAATTAAGAAGAGGAAAATAATGATCCAGAGGTTCCACTTCTGGGCGCATACCCAAAAGAAGTGAAAGCAGGGACTCAATACTTGTACACATGTTCATAACAGCATTATTCACCAAATAGCCAAAAGGCAGGGGCAACCCAAGTGTCCATAAACTGATGAATCAGCAAAGTGTGATATTGGCATACAATGAAATATTCTTCAGGCTTAAGCAAGAAAATTCTGACATATGCTATCTGGAGGAAACTTGAAGACATTATGCTAAGTGAAATGTCAGTCACAAAAAGACAAAATTCTGCTTAGAGTAGTCAAAATGTTAGAGACAGAAAGTAGAATGGTGGCTGGTTTACAGTGAAGCACACACCTCCGAAAATAACATACATAGCACAGAGGTTGTGGAAGAAAGAGAAGGTTTGGGATTTAAACAAAACCATTTTGGCCAAATCTGGCTTTATGGAAAAATTCAATGTCTCTTTGTCCTGTTGGCTATAGACAGGTTTCTGAAAATTTATTATCTTTTTACCAAAGGGAACCTGCCCAAGTCCTCATGTTCTTTCCTTAGAGGAGCTGGGGTTGCATAGCTTGGAGCAGAGAAGAGTAGAGCAGGAGGTAGGTCATGATTGTCACCTTCAGCTCACCTTCATGTCAACCCAAGACAAGAGTCGTCCTTGGTTAACTAGTGGCAATAACAAGAACCAGTTGTAGGAAAGCTGTAGAGAGGAAGATTTCAGCGTAATATTGCAAACGGCCACCTTTAAGTCTGTACTTAAAGAGTACAGACTTGGAAAAGTTTTACAGCTGGATGGTGGTGATGGCTGTTCAACAATGTGATTGTACTTAATGCCACAGAACTGGACACTTAAGGTTGATTTTATGTCATGCATATTTTACCAAAAATTTTAAACAATTCATTAATGTAAAAATAAGGGGGGATGGATAGTGACTTAAGAGTGACTTCACAGTGGAGAAACATGGCAGACACGAGCTTAACCAAAAGGCCAAGGTCAACATCACCAGTGATGGGACATGTTGTGCACCTCCTGGTACAATGCACTGGAAAGAGCACAACATGACCTCCGTGATATTCTTGCCAGCAGTGCATAACCTGAATCTAATCAGGACATCAGTAGAGCTCAAACTGAAAAACATGACAAAAGTAACTGACTGATCTGTACTTTTTCAAGAAATATCTGTGTCAGGCCAGACACAGTGGCTCATGCTTGTAATCCCAGCACTTTGGGAGGCCAAGGTGGGTGGATCATTTGAAGTCAGGAGTTCGAGACCAGCCTGGCCAACATGGTGAAACCCCATCTCTACTAAAAATACAAAAAATTAACTGGGCTTGGTGGTGGGCGCCTGTAATCCCAACTACTCGGGAGGCTAAGGCAGGAAAATTGCTTGAACCTAGGAGGTGGAGATTTCAGTGAGCCAAGATTGTTGCGTCATTGCACTCCAGCCTGGGTAATAAGAGCGAGACTCAGTCTCAACCAAAAAAAAAAAAAAAAAAAAAAAAAAAAAAATTATATATATATATATATGTATATATCTGTGTCCTGAAAGACAAAGAAGGCTGAGAAATTCTTCCGGATTAGGCCGCGCACGATGGCTCACGCCTGTAATCCCAGCACTTTGGGAGGCCGAGACGGGTGGATCACGAGGTCAGGAGATCGAGACCATCCTGGCTAACACGGTGAAACCCCGTCTCTACTAAAAATATAAAAAATTAGCCGGGCGCGGTGGCGGGCGCCTGTAGTCCCAGCTACTCGGAAGCCTGAGGCAAAAGAATGGCGTGAACCTGGGAGGTGGAGCTTGCAGTGAGCCGAGATAGCGCCACGCAGTCCGGCCTGGGCGACAGAGAAAGACTTTCGTCTCAAAAAAAAAAAAAAAGAAAGAAAGAAATTCTTCCGGATTAAAAGACACCAAAGATATGTGGCAGCTGAGTGCAATGTGTGAGCTAGGATTTTCTTTTGCTGATACGATTGGGACAATTGGTGAAATACGAGTAAGATCTGTAGATGAGTTAATAGTATTTTATCAATGATTGCATTGGTCTGTTCTTAAACTGCTATAAAGAAATACCTGAGACTAGGCAATTTATAAAGAAAACAGGTTTAACTGACTCATGGTTCTGCAGGCTGTACAGGTACCATGGCTGGAGAGGCCCCAGGATGCTTTCAATTATGGCTGAAGGTGAGGTGGAACCGGCGCATCTTACATGAGTAGAGAGTGAACAAGGAGGAAGTGCCACACAGTTTTGAACAACCAGATCTCGTGAGAACTAAACAACCAGATCTCGTGAGAACTCACTCACTATCGCTAGAACAGCAAGAGGGAAATCTGCCGCCATGATCCATCCGCCTCCATGATCCAATTACCTCCTATCAGGCCCCTCCTCCAACACTGGGGACTACGATTTGACATGAGATTGGGGTGGGACACGGAGCCAAACCATATCATTGATAATTTCATGATTTTGTTCATTGTATTGTGGTTACAGAAGAGGATATCTTTATTTTAGGGGAAATATACCCTGAAGAGAAAAAAGAGCATCATTATGTCTACATGAAAAAGAAAATAAAATGAATATGTTTATTTAGAGAGAGAAGGAAAAAGCAGATGTGGTAAAATGTCAACAGACATGGAATCTGGGTAAAAGGTATACAGGAATACTTTGTATTATTCTTGCAAGTATGAAATTATGTCAAAATAAGTTGCTTTAAATGGTCATCCAGGCCGAGAGCAGTGGCTCACACCTGTAATCCCAGCACTTTTGGAGGCCGAGGCAGGAGGATCACCTGAAGTTGGGAGTTTGAGACCAGCCTGACCAACATGGAGAAACCCTATATCTACTAAAAATACAAAATTCGCCGGGTGTGGTGGTGCATGCCTGTAATCCCAGCTACTCGGAAGGCTGAGGCAGGAGAATCGCTTGAACCCTGGAGGCAGAGGTTGCTGTGAGCCGAGATCATGCCGTTGCACTCCAACCTGGGCAACAAGAGTGAAACTCCGTCTCAAAAAAAAAAAAAAAAAAAAAAAAAAAAAAAAAAAAGCCATCGTTAAGATGCAGGGAAAGTCTAAACCACCATCTAGATGGTAAGAAAAATCTTCGGTTCAGCCAGGCTGTGCTGACAAGGATTTTGAAATTGGGTAGTTCACCTCAATTCCACCTCCTTAATAACTCCCCACTTCCTGGCCAAGTACGGTGGCTCACGCTTGTAATCCCAGCACTTTGGGAGGCTAAGGAGAGCGGATCACTTGAGGTCAGGAGTTCGAGACCAGCCTGGCCAGCATGGTGAAACCCTGTCTTTACTAAAACATACAAAACTTAGCCGGGCGTGCACAAAACTTAGTCAGATGTGGTGGCATGTGCCTGTAATCCCAGCTACTCGGAAGGCTGAGGCAGGAGAATCGCTTGAATCCAGGAGATGGAGGTTGCAGCGAGCCGAGATTGTGCCATTGCACTCCAGTCTGGGCAACAGAGCGAGACTCTGTCTCAAAAAAATTCACCACTTCCTCCTAACCTGACCTCACCACCTCAGTTCAATTCCTGTAGTTCTGGAAACACAAAGATGAATTCTGCTAAGAAACTAGACCCTGACAAACCAACTATTAAACAGTATTAAATTAATTAATTGTCTCATGCAAGAAAGCTGTTTTGTCTTGAGATTGTATAGTTGCTTCCATTTCCTGACATCTAGCTCACCTTTACGGTGTGGTCATTTATAGCTTTTCTTAAGGGAAAGGATGAAGATAGCAGGAAACTTCTAGCTGTGGAGTTTAACAAGTTATTGAACCTCCCTGAATCTGTTCCCTTGTCTGTAAAACAGGACTGGTAATAATACATATCTTCATAAAATAGCTGTGAGGTTTAATAACACCTTGCAGGTAAAGCTTTTGAAATAATGCTTGGTAGATAATAAATACTCAGAAAAGCATAGCTGTTAGGAGAAGATGTGTGTGACTTATGCTTCTCATCCCGCTGAGAATTCTTTACATAGACTCGAGCAAAGATTAGCAATGGGATTATTAGTTCTAATTATCTCTAATGACATGACCTTGTTGCTAATAGCTTGTCAATGGATTGTATCCCATAATTCACTGTATTTGGTGCCTTTTTTTTCTTTTATTTTCTTTTCTTTTTTTTTTTTTTTTTTTTTTTTTTGAGATGACTCTCGCTCTGTCGCCCAGGCTGGAGTACAGTGACACGATCTCAGCTCACTGCAACCTCCGCCTCCCAGGTTCAATCAATTCTTCTGCTCAGCCTCCCAAGTAGCTGGGATTACAGAGGCATGCCACCACGCCGGGCTAGTTTTTGTATTTTTAGAGAGATGGGTTTTCACCATGTTGGCTAGGCTTGTCTCGAACTACCATCCCCAGGTGATCTGCTTGCCTCTGCCTCCCAAAGTGCTGGGATTACAGTCGTGAGCCACCGCCCCTGGCCTTGGTGGCCTTTTTATTGCCTTTGGAATGTAGTGGTAAGGCTTTTTTC